GGTCTCACTTATATATAGTCCTCCATCTCACGTAGTGGTGACTATGATATAGTCAATCTAATAATTACAATTGATTCTTTAGAATTCTCATATCTAGATATGTACATGATACTATAATGAGAGACTCTCTAACATTTCTTAGAATATATCTAGATTTTTCTTGGATAACTTAGAAGCTTCTTTAATGCTCCAAAATCTTTTAAAGGCTTTTAAATTTATCTAGTGTTCTCTATTAATCTCTAGAAAAATGTCCTTCTTCATGCGAGCATAACACGATGCACCTAATAATTTCAAGAATAATTATTCGTTAATCTTTTTGTTGTTGTTCTAGAACAATTTAAGTGACATGGTCCATAAAAAAAAGAGGAGTTTTTGAAATTATAAGTCAACTATAAAAATATAATATTGCATATTGGACTGAGTATATAACTATTTTATTTTGCATAAATTTTGTTGGCAAGTGATAGGTTATTATCTAATAGCCGGGATACCCTTATCCCGACTCATGTACATAAACATAAAAATAATATTATTATTTTGAAATTGTAACAATAGTTATTTTTTAGTAATTTGCAAAAATAATTATTCTAATATTTTTTTCATAAATAAAAATAATTCATTTATGCTAAAAATTAACTCATGTTATGTTATTTTATATAGTTTTTATTAGTTTCATAATAAAATAATTAATTTTTTTCAATGTTTAGTGAATTATTTATTTTATTTTATAAGTTTCATAAATAAACACAATCAATTCTTTCCAACTCTAAAATAAAAATAAATAAATTTATTTTTATTTTATTTATTTGTATATTTGATTAGTTTCATAAATAATTATTATGATTTCATAAATGAAAATAGTTATATTGGTGTAAAATAATTCGTAATTGATGTGTAGCATCTCTTGTAAAATACCCATATATGCGGGAATCACACGAGTCGCACATAAATTTTGTACTTTTATAGTTATTCTCAATTGTGTTAGGCTTTCAACCTTGGTGAGTTAACATAAATGTATTTGATGATTAACGGTTTTGAAAAGTAAGGTGATGTTTGATAAAACTAAAAATTAATTATTGAATATGTTAACTACTTGAATTTTAAGTGCTTGAATAATTAAATACTGAATATGTTCCCGACAAACTCGTTTAATATTTACTGAAAATTAAGCATTGAATATAATAAACTTGTTTGATAAGTACTCGTTGTTGAACATATTAAGGCTATATACATGACAATTTTAACTTTGTAATTGTAACATGATATTTTATTGATAAACTTGAACAATAACTATAGTTAATTGCTCAACTTTTACGAGCAAAGTCGAGGCTCTTTTATTGATCCTGCCGGATAGTTCTAAATCATGTAATAGATTTTGTTAGTATTTATATTGAAAACGAAGGCAATTTTTGAAAAGGGATAAAAGATAAGCAAAACTATGTAAGCGAGTGGAGAGAGTTTACTAATTTTTCAACTATGTTCATGTCTAGATTGTGCTTCCACTACAAGAATCGTGTCTTTCTAAATCACAAAAACTCATTGCTTTAACTGAATTCCCATGTGAAACCCTTGATGGATTTGAAGGATATCAATAGAAAATTATACAAAAAGAAAAAAAATATTGATGATGATGGGATTAGAAAGACACGAAGGAATGTAAATCAAAACCAATAAACTAAAACAACTTAATCTACAAAAAGAATTGGTATTTCTCTAAAAAAAATGTACAAAAAAAAAAAATTATCAAGATTCAACGGACATGAAGGAAAATTACTTGTAATAGAATGGAAGTAAAATTACTTGCAATGGGAATAGACCTTGGAGTTTTAAATTCCGAAATGGAAGCACGGATAATTGAGAAGGTTTTTTCTGTTTTAGCAATGGGGATAGTAGAGATTGTTTTTCGGTTGGTTTGTTAGCTAAAGTTATAAGAATATATAAGAGTGATATAGTCATATTTGAAAAGTTTTAAAAATCTTTCAATCGAGCGTGTTAATAAAAAAGTAGTAAGTTAAAAACTTGAACTTAACTGATTAAGTAAATTTTGACTCGAACTTAAATTTTTAATATGAGATTATTTAGGTTATCAAATAAATTTTTTATATTAAGTACTGCAACTTAATTTTTTAAGCTACTTAAATAGGTTATCAAACACCTCTTAAGTATACTAAAACCTCAATTTAGTTCCAAATCTATATAATTATTCTCCATTGCATTCCAAACCTATAAATTTTCTAAATTAAGTCCCAAACATTTTCTATATTTATCAACAGTGTCCTTTTTTCAATTTTTTTTTAATAATTTAGTTCTAATTTGCATATTTTATGCACTAAAATAGTGTCAATTTGAAAAAATTTTATCAAAAGAGTCAATGAATTTTAACATTTTTTTTTATCTTATATGTATATTATAATGCCCTAGAATGGCATTAATTTGAAGAAAAACTGACAAAAATACTGATAAGTGTTAACAAACAGACTTAATTGAAATTTTTTAGAATATTTGGGACTTAATTGATAAAATTTGATAGTTAGAAATTCAATTAAGAATGAGTGTATATGTTTAGGACTAAATTGAGGGTTTTCCGAAAATAATCATGCTAAACTTCTTCTTGATTAATTTATAGACCAAAACTAGTGGCCAGTAGGAAAGCTATGATCGCAGGAAGATTTAGGGAACAATGGTAGCAATGGGTCATGAAACATATAATGAGGCATTAATATCGCAAAGGCAGCGCCTCCTTTTCTGTTGGAAATTAAGCTTTCAATGCTGCTAATGAAAGAAGAACGTATCTCTTTAGTGGGTGGTTGCAACCACATTTTGTTACATTAATTCTCACTCCCCCCACTCTGCTAGATAGACCTTTCGGTGGCAGCAGCTAACAGTTGTAAATGGTATCGAAATATTTGATTGCCTCCATCTAAGGTCCTGAATTCTCATGGATTTCAAGTGTTTTAACATTTGCATGAAAGTAGGTATATAATTTATTGGAAGATTTTTTTTTCTTATTATTTTTTATGTATATTGGAAACTTGTGGATTCAGTGAAGGCTGTGAAGCCTGACATGGGAGAAACTAAGCTCTGCATATGTGACACAACATCCAGAAATAAGTACGAACGTATCAAGACCATACGGACATCCCAGGACCATCCAACTACTAGGAGATTTGCGTGTACCCTTCGCTACACAGAGAGACATAAAATATATTTATTAAATAAAAACACGTTTCAAAGTTATTTTTGTCCCATCAACAAAAATCATGATATTATTATATTTACTCAATAATAAAATATCGATATTAGAGATAATTAACTCTTAATTAAAATCAGAAGTTTTTGGTGACAGGAGGATGAACAATTTTGCTTTTTTTTTTTTTTTTTTTTTTTCATTCAACTTGAGGAGTCTCATGGTTATATATAGCCATGAGATAACCATGAGAGGCTATATATAACCATGAGACTCATGGCAAGACTTTCTCTTAACTTACTTAAAAAAATAAAAAAAATAATTCTCTCAATTCTTTTATTATTTATCATCTCTTTCATATTTATATTATTATATCATTTTTTTTAAATTATAATTCTCCTCTATACACCTATTTAGTTATTAAAATGTCTTCCAACCAACTAGTTAGTATGACTTGTTTTACAGATATTCAAGTTAATTTGATCTTGGGATACCAAGAAACTCCATAATTACATCAGTAAAAAAGAAGTCACTGGCCTCATGTTTTAAGGTTTGCAAGTATCTCATCAATTCTCATCACGGATCTTAGCATGGGCAGCTAGCTAGCTTAGAATTTTTGCGGTTCAAACTTTTCTCTCACTTAGGAAAAGTGGAAATTAAACCGACCTCTTCCTTTTCAGTACTTTTATTTCGGACGTTAGTAAATTCAACCTTTACATAAGATAATTACGGAAATATTTTAGTTAATTGGCAACCACAATTTTCTTATAGTATTACTAATTGCAATGGTAGCATTATCATATTGACGTGTAACTGCATGTGATGCATATATAGAAGATCGAACAACTTTTTGTTCAATTAAGATGTATGATACATTCAGTTTGTATTTTGTGTTGATCGGTTATATAGAAACCTATATATAAATCCTATAAATTTTAACTTTTTTTGGTACACTTACTTTTCAAAACCGTTAACCATCAATTACATTTACTTTAACTCACGAAGTCTAAAAGCCTAGCTAACACAAGTGATAAATGATTTGATTTAAAACATGAGAAGATTTTGAGCTAAAAAATCTTACTAGATAATTTGTTTAAATAATTGTTTTGGACCGCAAAATATGAAGCTTCTTTCAGAAATATAAAAATAAAATAGGTTTTCGTCAACTAAAGATTTGTTTTGATCTGCCGCGACTAATCTCAACTAATTGTAAAGGTTAAAAAAAAAAAAATTCCACAAATATTAATTTCACTGTTTATAAATTACTATAAATACTTTTGTCCAAATTCAGTTAACTTTTTCGTTTTCCAATAATGCAGTAGTTGACTTTGGCCAACTAATTTCAAATTTAGGTTTTTTTTTCTTTTGTTATTAAAAAAGTTCCCTATAAAAAAATAAATCTTTTTATTTGATTAAAAAAAAAGTTTCTTTTATTTGGAAGGAATTCTTTAATAAATAAAAAATTGATGTTAATTTGTCAAAGGCACATGGGCTTAATTATAAATTAAGCAGCTTTTGATTTAATTTTTAAAAGTGGAAGTGTCTAGTAAATCGCTTGTATTTATAAAAAGCAAGCATGATATTTTCAGAAAAGTAAGAAAAAGCATTACTATGAACCCCCTTTAATTTGTATTCGCAATTAAGATAGCCAACGGCTTCCTCTCCCAAACACTTGAAAATCAACCTTGTCATTAACTTTCCAACAGATAGTGTACTACTCCTTCTATTTATTTACCACAACCTTCTCACTAGCTAGCTATTCCAGTTAAGGGTGTATTGAGAGAGAAACAAGCTAGAGATCAGGGAGAAAAATATGGCAAACATGTCGTCGTACATTTCATGGTTTTTATTGTTAACTCAATTTCTAATTCTGGTCGCAACAATTGTTGAAGCAAAAATTCCGGCTGTTATCGTTTTTGGCGACTCTTCTGTTGATTCTGGGAATAACAATTTCATTCCGACGGTTGCTAGGAGCAACTTTGAGCCATATGGTCGTGACTTTACTGGAGGTCGTCCTACCGGGAGGTTCTCAAATGGTCGAATCGCTACTGATTTTATCTCTCAGGCTTTAGGGCTCAAGTCAGCAGTTCCACCCTACTTGGATCCGGCATATAACATATCAGATTTTGCTGTTGGAGTTACCTTTGCTTCTGCTGCAACTGGCTATGACAACGACACTTCTCGTGTGCTAGTAAGTTCCAATTTTCTTGGCGTATATGTATATATATATAGATATGTGACTTCATCATCATCATCATCATCATCATCATCATATATATATATATATATATAGTCCACGTACCTTTAGTTCTTGCCTAATTGCACTATACCATGTTACATTTCTGCCTAAGTTACAGTTTATAAGTCACTAATTAAATATTGAACAATAAGAGCTTGTGATCATCATGATTGCACATGTACGCGCAAAATTAACTTTCCTGTCATGCCACAATATTGTTTATCCTGCAGTCTGTGATACCACTGTGGGAGCAATTGTTGTTCTACAAGGGCTATCAGAAGAAACTGAGAGCCTATCTTGGAGAAAGTCAAGCTAATCAAACTATAAGTGAGGCTCTACACATGATAAGCTTAGGAACAAATGATTTCCTGGAGAACTACTATGCCTTTCCCCCCGCCGATCAGCCCAGTACACAATCTCGGAATATGAAAATTTCCTTTCAGGAATTGCCGAAAGTTTTGTCAAGGAACTCTATGGTCTAGGTGCTCGGAAAATATCCCTCGGAGGGCTCCCTCCGATGGGTTGCATGCCATTGGAGAGAAACACGAATTTGATGGGTGGGCGCGATTGTGTGCAGAATTATAACACTGTGGCTTTGGAGTTCAATGACAAGTTAAACAAGTTGGTGATGAAACTGAACAAGGAACTTCCTGGGATCAACTTGGTGTTTTCAAATCCGTATTTCATTTTCATGCAAATCATAAGAAGACCCTCACTATATGGTAATTAAGTTGTGCTAGTTTTGCCTTTTTCTTACTTCTAAATTAAAGTCATACATGCATACGTCATCATTTCTTTTCCCCCTTCCAAATTAATATCCTTCCGAAATACTGAAATATAATGCATATGATATCTTAGTTCTGTGCATTAAATTATTCTATACCAGCCAAGGTGTGGTGGATGGAGCCTGTTCACACTAGCTCGGTAAGGAGATGCAGGCATGTTATTTATAAACTTCTGACTCATGTAACTGTGCTGCAAGAAAAAATTGTTGGGTGCTAGCTAAGGCTTATGGTCATTATGAGGCCTTTAGAGTATGCAATTGAGAATCGTCTTAATATCTTGGTCATTTGGGATAACTATGGCTAAGTTGATGATTTTATTAGTATCTCTCTTCATGCATATATAGTACGTAGTTTTTGTGATGGCGATTGAAATCCTTGAAATTAACAAAAACTAGCTAGTATGACTCTTTGAGGGTCAAAAAGGGTAAGGAAATAGGATCATCCTCGGTATGTAATTCAATCGTTGAACAATTAAAATAGTAGATGGGTGTTAATTTACTGATTACATGACTAGAACGGGTGACTATTCAATTTTGTTAGAGTTGATTATAACCTAATTACTATAATGTAACAAAACTAATTAATTAGTCCGCGTAGTTAATTTTAAAAACTATATATTTAATCTTTATGTTTTGAAATTCATTCACAACTTAGTTTTTCGCTAAGTTTATCTTCATTTTATTTTTTATTTTTTGAGAAATAAAAATAGGAGAACCGAAGTAAATAAGATGGAAATTTTTTTTTTAAAAAAAAGAGCTACTAAAATTGAAGATAGTCAAAGCATCAAGAGTACTGTATCAAGTTAATTTTCTTATACTAACAAATTAATTAATTAGTTTTGATATTTACGAAATCTAAATTATAATCAACTCATTTAATTAATATCGATCTGTATGTTTTCATGTGTTTATCAAAATTAACAAACCAATTGTATACAAATTTAATCTAGCTAGATAGAAATATCTAAACTTTTCTTTACTTCTTAAATTAGATATACAAAGACTAATTACATTAATTGCTGATTGGCAGGTTTTGAGTCTACCTCCGTGGCATGTTGTGCAACCGGGATGTATGAGATGGGTTATGCATGCGCTCAAAATGGTCTAATGACGTGCACAGACGCCAGTAAATATGTTTTCTGGGATGCTTTCCATCCTACCCAGAAAACAAATCAGATCATTGCAAATTACGTGGTGAAGCATGTGCTATACAAGTTTATTTAATTTGATGGCCTTAATTATGTGGGTATACGTGTGGCAATATATATATATATTGCATGATTAGCTTATAAATACTTTTTTTTATCTTTTTCATATAATTAATATATATGTATTCTATCTGAACAAGGTTTTTAAGAATGATATATTAATTATTTATGAAAAAAATAATGACATATTAATTGTGCACTATTTATACCTTCCAAAATTTTCTCTGGGCTTTCCTTTGGTTTTGTCGTATGACACACGGCCATGTTACGTTCACGCAAAGTCAAAATTAATAAGGTTTACATCAGGAGAAAAGGAACTTAATTATGAAACCAGGCAGAATGTGTGCGTGTAAACTTCATTATTTATTGTTGGATGACAATTCTTAATTTAGAGAGAGAAAAAACATGTGCAATGCTAGACACCTTGATGACATCAACTGCTAGAGCCACCGCTAGACAGTAGCAATGAAACTCCACTGAAACAAAAAGCAAAAATTATTCCAAACTGGCGGTGAAAAGACCAAAAGTGAAAAACATTTAAATTTAAGGGACCAATTGTAAAGAAATGATAAGTTGCATCTTGAAATATACAACTTTCGTATAATAGTTTTGTGGCTACCCAAAGCATTGCCATAAAAAATAAATTCATTTTTTTTTGAGGCTAAGAAAGCCATGAAACGTTTTTATAATAACACGATCCGAAGAAAACTGTTTCATTATATAACTATGATTAAAGAGCAAGTGCATAAATTCAAGTGATTGTTGTTTTTAGAATCTCTTCTAATAAATGTACTTGGGATTTTAACTCTTAAATATTAACTATTAAATAATGAAAGGCAATCCAATTTTATTTCCTTAATTTTTAATTTTAATTAAATTAAAATTTAATTTTATGTTTTTTAAAAAATAAACTAATTAAATCATAGATTATCAAACTTAATTTACACAAAATTAGATTTAAATGTTAGATATTTCAATTTGATAAATTTTAAAATTTATTATTTAGTAAATGGCTTAAATAATCTATTAAATATTAATAATTGAATAATACAAATGTAAAACACCAGCCAAAGTAACTAACAAAAGAAATGGGTATGGAAGCACATCCTTGAAAAAACACCATCTCAAAAATCATGAAGCATCATTTCAAAACGATTTACGCACCTCTCAAAAGCAGGGTCATCAGCTATACACATTCTTTTAACATTTGAGCATAACTTATCGCTACAAAAAATTCGCTAAATAACAACGAAATCAAATTCGTTGCTAAATAGAAAGAAAATAGTGATAGAATAGTAACCGTTGAATTTAGCGAACGAATTAGAGATAGAATAGCGACGGACATAAATCTATCGCTTAATTTAGTGATATAATCTTCTAGAGTATTTTAGAGACTCGCTTAATGACGGATTTGCTATGGAAAATAGCGATAGATATCAAGTCGATTGTCGACTTGATATCCGTCGCTATTTTCATTCTACTCGATTTAGTGACGGAATATCCATTGCTAAATTACAATTTCCTTACAATTTAGTGACGAAAAAATTCGTCACTAAAGGAAAAATTTTTGAGCAAAATTAGAGCTGAGCTTTTGGAAGACAAAGGCCCCCAATGTTGAGACAAATTAATAATAGATATCGACAATTTGAGATGGATTAATGACGGACATTTAAGTTTGTTGCTAAATACGAAAAAATGGGCGTCTAGCTGTTCAAAAATGGGTGCCCATTTAGATACGAATTAGCAACGAACACTTAAGTCCGTCACTATTTAGTGATAGACTAGAGATGGGATAGCGTCCGTTACTAAGTTTCGATCATAACTTAACCTCCTTCTTCTTCCTCTTCTCCCATTTTCTTCTCCCTCTCCAAAACCATCGGTTGCCATCATTCTCCCACCCCCTCCAAACACCACCAAACTTCACTCCTCAACTCTTAATAGATTCCCGCCCACTCCAAGGTCTTTTCTCCCAAAAAACCCTCATTTTTTCTTTCCTCCTCTTGGTGTAATTCCACCCCGAATTAGGTATGTTCTTCTTTCTTTTATTTTCTTAATTAAAGTTAATAATTTGTTGTAATTGTTAGGTTAATTTAAGTTTAATTATTAAGTTTATGATTGTGTATATGTTTAATTTTTATTTTGTTGATTTATTTGATAAATTGTTAATTTTTAGGTTAGTTGGTTGATTAATTTGTTAAATTTGGTTAATTTTTAGGTTAATTAATTATAATTTCAATTAAATCAAAAGTTTTTTTTAATTAATTATGTTAATTATATGTTTATTTGGTTGAATTAGACTGAATTTGTTAGTTAATTGTTTAATTAGTCTTAATTAAGTTAATTGAATTATTAATTTAAATTTAATTTGGTTAGAATTAGAATTAATTAAGTTAATTAGATATATAATTAATTAGATTAGATTATATTAGATTAGTTATATTAAATTAGTTGAATTATAATTTTATTTATATTAGAAATTGTTAATTTAAATTTAATTGGGTTTGAATTAGAATTAATTAAGTTAATTTGATTTTTAATTAATTAATTAATTAGGTTAATTTTGTTTAATAAGTTGAATTAAAACTTTATTTATATTTAAGATCGTTAATTAATTATTAGATAAAACTTAATATGGTTAGAATTAGAATTAATTAAGTTAATTTCAATTTTATTTAATAAATTAATTAGGTTAATTTTGTTTAATAGGTTGAATTAAAACTTTATTTATATTTAAAATTTTTAATCAATTGTTATATAAAATTTAATTTATTAGAATTATAATTAATTAAGTCAATTTGAATTTTATTTGATTAATTAGTTGGGTTAATTTTTTTTAATTGATTGAATTAAAACTTTATTTATATTTGAAATTGTTAATTAATTGTTATATAAAATTTAATTTGGTTATAATTAGAATTAATTAAGTTAATTTGAATTTTATTTATTTAATTAATTAGGTTATTTCATTTATAATTAATTAATTATGTTAAATTTGTTTAATTGGTTGAGTTAGAATACAATTTTCAATTAATTTTAATTTTGTTAATTAAATGTAAAATTATTGTTAATTGAGTTGATGTAATTGTTATTTTAAATTTAATTTGATTAGAATTAGAGTTAATTGCGTTAATTTGAATTATATTTAGTTAGTTAATTAATCATGTTAAATTTGTTTAATCGGTTGGATTAAAATAAAATTTTCAATTAATTGTAATTTTATTAATTAAATGTAATTTTTTTAATTAAGTTAATTTAATTGTTATTATAAATTTAATTTGGTTAGAATTAGAATTAATTAAGTTAATTTAAATTATTTTTATTTAATTAATTAATTATGTTTAATTTGTTTAATTGGTTGGATTAGAATAAATTTTTCAATTAATTGTAAGTTTATTAATTGAATGTAAAATTTTTGTTAGTTAAGTTAATTTAACTGTTATTTTAAATTTAATTTGGTTAGAATTTGAATTATAATTAATTAAGTTAATTTTAATTATTTTTAGTTAATTAATTAATTATGTTAAGTTTGTTTAGTTGGTTGGGTTAAAATAATTTTTTTAATTAATTGTAATGTTGTTAATTGAATGTAAAATTTATGTTAATTAATTTAAATTAATTAATTGTTATTTTAAATTTAATTTCGTAAGAATTAGGATTAATTAAGTTAATTTGATTTATGTTAGTTAATTAATTAATAAGATTAATTATGTTTAATTGGCTAAATTATAACTTTATATATAATAATACTTATTAATTTATTGTTATTTTAAATTTAATTTTGTTTGAATTAGAATTAATTAGTTTAATTATTTTGTATGTAATTATTGAAGTGTGTCGAGATACGCCATTGTGTATCAAACCCGAAGGGTCGGAGACACTCAAGATTTGAGGAGAAATAAAGTTGGTTCAATACTCTACGATGAAGTCGAGAGGAAGGGTTTGTAATTTAATTTCAATGGAGTATTTGAGAAATTTTTGATTTCACTCGTGCGTAATGTTTGTGTAAACATTTGAAATATTTATTAATTGAGAAATGTGCAATTTACATGGGAGAATCTATCAAAAATTTATTAGATGGCTAGAAAAATTATTAATTAAATAATTTTATGTTGCCTAAAAAATGTAGAAACAAAATAATGAGATCTAATCGTGAATGAATATATGTTAGGTGTATAGACGGGTATTTAAAAGATGATTTCATGAATGAAGTTGAAGAATTTATTGCATTTGCTTTTACTCATTTTGAATGTATGAACGAAAGAAAGTTAAGGTGTTCTTGCAGTCATTGTATGTGTCAAAATCAAAATTTTAAAGAATTTCACATGGTTAAATATCATTTAGTGAGATATGGTTTTGTACTTGGATATTATAACTTAATACATCATGGAGAAATTAACTCGAGAAGTTATGTTGTGTCAAAAAATTTCTATGAAGGCAAAGGGAGTTCTAATCAACCCTCAATCCATATAAAACAACGGTGATAAATCGACCAGATCCATCATTTAATTAGTCAAGCATAGATGAGGTACCAAATCTCGATGCTTAAGATTTTTATGACATTTTGAATATAGCAAATAAAGAGATTTGACCTTGTTGTGACAATCACTCCTAGTTGTTTGTAATTACCCGATTGTTACACCTTAAATCGGAATATGATTTTTTTGAAAGGTCTTATGACGAGATATATGAACTAATGAAGAAGTTGATGTCGTTTGATAGTTGAATGATAGAGGATTTTTAGAGCATAAAAAATTTGGTGAATGAAATGAGTTTACTACTAAAAAAGATTCATTATTGTAACATAGGCCATATGATTTATTGGGATAAAGACGGTGAATTAACCTTCGTAAGTTCTATGAATATCCTCGATATTGAAGTCTAAGACGAGGATCATTAAGAACAAAACATGTTTCATTTAAAAAAATATATTACTTTCCATTTACCTCACATTTACAAAGATTGTATGCATCAAATATCATAGCTAGACACATGATGTGGCATGCCGAATATGGGGTT